TGCAAATGAATGGAATATCTGAAAATTATATAATAACCTTTAAACGAAGCTCTTCAACAGGATCTGTTAGAACAGGACGAACGCTCGTTAACTCTATCTTAACCATATTAGATTTATTTTCACGAGGATTTGTATCATTATCTGGACGTAAGTGAGACAAAAATTTATTCCATGCAGATGTTTTGATATTGTCGAGAATTTCTAGATCTCTAATAAGTAACAGTAGTCGAGACGCCAGCAAATTGTCTTTTGGAAATAAGTCAAATTCTAAATTGATCTTATCAAACTTAATGTCAAGTTTGCTTTTTCTTGAACGGCTGAGCTTTGGTCTAGAGGAACGATTCTTTTGTTCAGGTCGTTTACCATCTCGAACGCTGGAATTATCAGAATCAACTCGCGAGCTGACTTGACTAGAAGTATCGCTGTGGCCATCTACCATATACGCAAATTCAGATGCTAGTTGTGACGAACCATCATGATCAGGATTTTTAAATGGCGAATCCACAAACAACATACGATCAAATGGACTGGATAATTCAGTGTTCATTAGACCTTGAATTTCGCCTGTAGAAGGTCCTGCTATATTAGTAGTAGTTGAATTTTTGACACTTGTTAATGCCTCAGACGCTTGATCTCTAGTGTGTTTCCAGTCATAGCCATCGTACAGTTTCCATAATATGTTAAAATCACGAAGGCGGATTCTTGTCAAACTATTTGGTAAACTGTAAAGTATAATTAAGTTAGATGAGTAAATGGCAGACTAGTCTTATTATTTGATTACTCTATACCCACTCTTGCTTAACTTCCTCAAGCTCACTAGCACTCGGAACAGAAAAATGATCTTCTACAAAGTTAAGAGGCTCTATTGGATAGTCATCATTTTCATCTTGAATAATATCAGAATCTTTAGTGATAGTTTGCTGAGAATTTGACATTGGTAATGGTTGGTCCACCATAAAGTCTGAAACAAGAAAGAACAGTTTATAGAATGAAATAATTGTAATTGAAGAAATCGGCTAAATATATTAATACCATCATTGAAATCATCAAACACGACTGCATTCTCAAAAAAGTGATCTTCTTGTTCGAACGTTTCATCTTTCTCATTTGCAAAGAAATCTTCCTGAAACTCCAAGTTAGAAGTAGGGTTATTACTAGAAATTTCTGATCTTAAAGTCCTTTGTGGTGGTCGCTTGAAGGCTTCTTCATCAAGGCTCGCTGAAATTGCATTATTCAGGTTTGTTATAACACTTAACATATAAATATATACAATACTTATTATGGTAACTTAGATAATTACCTAACACATTTTGGTAACTAGATTCGTAAGAATTTTCATCGTAGGAATCTTTTGTGTTGGTAGTTACATGATGCACTCGTTGCCTGAATAGTTTTCATAATTATTAGAGAAGTCTACATGAATGAATGAATAATGATAATAAGAATAAACCATATATGCATAATACCCTATTCCTGCTTCTTGAGGTTCTGCTTTAGGTGTTAGCAGACTTATAAGTGTCTGAAGAGTATCTACGCATGTCTCGATTGTGAGGATTTCGTTGGTAAATTCAAGCTAAGAGTATTAATTTTTTTTAGTCACAGTAAAAATAATATAAGAGGAAATAGTGAAGTGGTCAAAGGCCCATACATATAGATGCGGATATATTTCCCCTTTATTAGTTTGTAATATAATTTCGGCAAAATCTAGTGACGCAGCTTTTACAAAACCTACGGACTAACGATATTATAATAAAGTATAAGTGTATGAAAATTAAAAAGATATCAAGTTATTAATGTATTTTACCTCCCAATACTTTTTCGTACTTAAAGGCAGCGAACCTAATCGATTTATGGATCGCTCATTAAGAGTTTTGACATCGTCCAGGATGCATTAAATTTTGTGATTAAGTTTTTTTCATACCGGGGTCCTACCAACGATTCTTCTCAGCAACATGCTG